TTATAGGCAAGTCAAATGTATTCTCAAGAGGCCATTTTTGCCAGGCTGGTGGAAAACAAGAGTTTAGCCTCTTCATAGGCACAACCCCCATCTGTGTAGTAGGCAGGATGAAACCAGGGCTCCAAAGCCTTCCTTTCCCCTCCCCTCCCTACATTGATCTACCTGCTTCCAAGGGCCTGCTCAAATTACCTGGCAGCCCTTGATGGTACAGGGTTAGAGGCGTTATCCCTGGACTTAGGCAAAGAAAAATCAATCAGAGAACCTAACAGAACAAGAGAAGGCATAGATTTTCAGTGCCACGAAGTATACCCACGGCTTTCGGCCCTGGTTGAAATCACTGAATTTATACATTAGAAAGTATAAGCCTCCTGGCAAGAGGAGATTTTGCTCGTATGTACAACACATCCAGAAGAGGCAAACCACCATCTTTACGTAGGTAGGTTTTTATCTAAAGCTATAAAGATAGTACATCTTTTAATTTTGTGGATTTTTTTGTTGTTGTTGGTTTTTTTTGAGACGGAGTCTCCTCAGTCGGCTAGCTGGAAGTGCAGTGGTTTTTGCGATCTCTGGGAGCTCAACCGCAACCATCCGAACCTCCCCAGGTTCCCGCATTTCCTGCCTGGCTTACGGCTCCCACAATCCGAGTAGCTGGGACTACAGGCACCACTGCCACCACGCACATCCGGCTAAGTTTTGGTTCCTTCTTTAAGTAGGGATAGGACAGGGTATTCACGATGTAGGCCACAGGCAATGTCTTGATTCCTTGGACCTCGATGATCCACCTCGCCTCGGCCTCCCAAGGTGCATGGGAGATTACTAGGTGTAATAAAGCACCGTGCCCAAGGGCCATACCCAGGGCTTATTTTGTGTTTTTTTGTTTTATAGAGATGTGGTTTCACATGGCCCATGTTTGGCCGAGGGGCTGGTATGGAACTCCATGATCTTCAAGTGATCGCCTGCCTTGGTGGCTCCCAAAGTGTGGGGATTATAGGTGTGAGCCACTGCACCCTGGCCTGATGGTTGGTTTTTGATGCGATTTTTCTCAAATAAAAGATGTTCCAACCTTAGGAGAAAATTTCATTACAGATGTTTATTGTTCTTATGCGTGTACCGTGCTCCGCATTTTTTATTTTATTTATTTTTTTATTTATTTATTTTTTTTTTTTTGAGACGGAGTTCTCGCTCTGCTCCGCCCAGGCTGAGAAGGCAGGTGGCGCTATCTCGGCTCACTGCAAGCTTCTGGCCTCCGGGTTCACGCCATTCCTCCGTGCTCAGCCTCCTGAGTAAGCTGGGACTACAGGGCGCCGTACGCCACGGCGCCGGGCTAATTTTTTTGATATTTTTTAGTAGAGACGGGGGTTCACGCTGGTGGTCTCGAATTCTCTGGACTTTGGTGATCGGCGGGCCGCTCGGGCCTGCGCAAGGAGTGCTGTACAGGGCGTGAGTTCACCTTGCGCCGGCCCACTCTCCCATTTTTTAATTTAAAAACTCCGCACACAAGATGCATAGAAAAAACGTAAGGCCGCAGGCCCGGTTGCGGTTGGCTCAGGTGCCTTGGAAATCCCGAGAGAAACTTTGGGAGGCCCAAAGGGCGGCCAGATCACCAGGTTCAGGGATAGATCGGGAGACCATCCTGGCTACAACGGTTGAAATCTCGCGTTCTCTATTAAAAATACAAAAATTAGTAGGCATCGGTGGGCACCGCCTGTAGTCACAGCTACTCAGGAGGCCTAAGCACAGTCGGGGACTTGCGTCGAACCCGAGGGAAGGGATGGAAGTTGTAGTGAAGACAAGATTCGTTGTCACCGAGCTCAGGTCTGGCAACAGAGCAAGACTCTGTCTCAAAAAAAAAAAAAAAAAAAGATTGGTCAGCGTGGAGGTGACTCACGTCCTGTTGAATCCAGCACTGTTGGCGACGGCGAGGCGGGGTAGGATCGCCTTTGAGGTCGCGGAGCATCGAGACATCGTACATGGTGAAACCGTCTCTACTAAAAGTACAAAAATTAAACTGGAGTGGTGGCTCGTGCCTGTAGTCCCACGCTACTTCGGAGGCTGAGGCAGGGTGGAGAGTAATGTGTGAGACCCGGGTAGGCGGGCTTGCGTGAGCTGAGATCACGCACTGACCCAGCCTGGGGCGGACCAGCGAAGCAATGACGTTTACGTCCCAAAAAAAAAAAAAAAAAAAAAAAAAAAAAAAAGGAAGAAAAAATTAGCCAGCTACACAAGTGTTTATTACTGGTTGGTGAAATCCTAAGTAATTTTATTTTTCTTCTGCCCTTTTTTTTTTTTTGAGATGGACTCTCGCTCAGTCTCCCAGGCGAGAGTGCAGTGGTGCGATCTCAGTTCACTGCAGCCTCTGCTTTCCGGGTTCAAGTGATTCTCCTGCCTCAGCTGCCCAAGTAGCTGGGATTACAGGAGCCCGCCACCACACCTGGCTAATTTTTGTATTTTTAGTAGAGGTGGGGTTTCACTATGTTGGCCAAGCTGGTCTCGAACTCCTGACCTGAGGTGATCCACCTGCCTTGGCCTCCCAAAGTGCTGGGATTACAGGGGAGAGCCATCGCACTCACCTTTTTTCTCTCTTTTTTGAGATAGGGTCTCGCTCTGTCGCCCAGGCTGGAGTACAGTGGCACAATCTTGGCTCACTGCAACCTCAACCTCCTGGGCTCAGGTGATTCTCCCACCTCAGCCTCCCAGGTAGCTGGGACTACAGGCACAGGCCACCACACCCAGCTAATTTTTATTTTGTAGGGATGGGGTCTCCTTATGTTGCCAGGCTGGTCTCAAACTCCTGGGCTCAAGCGATTTGCCCGCCTCAGCCTCCCAAAGTGCTGGGGGTATAGGCGTGAGCCACCGTGCCAGGCCCATTTTGTTTTTCTTAACTGCAGATTATCTTCCTAAAATAAACGGATTACTTGCATAAGAAATAGTCAATAGTCCAAATAATCCTTTTCTTTTTTCTTAAACATTTACTTAATATCTTAATAACAAAACATACCAGTCTTTTTTTTAATAAGTGAAAAACATCTAAGCTCTGTTTTTGAGGAACTGATGATTTCCAAAGGTGTTTAGAAAAGCCAGAACTCTACCAGCACTGTGGATATGAGGCTAAGAGCTAACAAACCACATAAAAGGAGACGGGGTAGGGGCGGGGGGCAGATTCTTCTCTTTGAGACAAGGAAGCAATCAATTTACTGGGGGAACAGTGGCCTTCTAACAAGTGAAAAGAAGAAAAGGAGACCAAACAGCCTGTTTCATTCTCTATAAATAAAACCCTAGGCGGCATATTGCCAAAGAAACAGGAGTCAATATAAACCTTTACATACTGGGCAGCCAAACTTCACTTTTAGACAGTATATTAATTATGTAGTCAATAACTATGGGTTTCATTAGTGTATTAAATACCACGATCAATAGTATTTATACTTTTCGAAGACAGCCCACTCAGGAACAAAAGTGGGGGAGGGGAACATTTTTGACTCCGCAGTTCGAAACAGGACGGCACGCGAGAGATTAGCAAGGTTTTAATGGAAAGTATAAAACACTGGAAATACGGACAGAAATCAGATTATTACCCTTTTATTTTTTTTCCCTGCCCCTTTCACAATGAGACTGGAGGGAATTCAAGAACCGCTTGAAATAAAGGCGAAATGATTAGATTTTTTTCTCCTAATTGCTTAACGCTGATGTCATGGTGTACGCAAAATCGACATTGATCTCTAAGTGAAAGAGGAGAAATAGAACCACAAGAATAGCCTTTCGAGGTAAACTATATCCAAGAGAATTCTACGAACTGTGGGCCAGAATCTATTTAGGTAACCCTCAGGGACCAAAATCTCTTAAAAGCCCAACAGTGGAGCCCATTTCTGACGCTCCTCTGCTGGTGATCCGACCTTTTAGTGGGGAAATCTGTTCGAAATATCCTCCTTAAGGGAGCCCTACCCCCCAGCACTGCCCCTGGGTTTCCAATCACATCCACGGAGACGTGCTGGGTTCGTCACGCTGGCCACTGAGAAGGCGCGGGGACGGGCGTTAGCGTTCCCTGGATGCGTCCTGGTGCCACGGCTGCTCAGGCCTCTTCGCTGTGTGGACAGACACGTGGGGAGAGGAGGGAATGCTGGGAGTAGTAGGCGTAAGAGACTGGTTACTGGGCTGAAAGCTAGATCACCACTTCCCACCCACAATTTGTCAATCCAGAAGAGGCTGAAGACTGTAATTTTCTAGTCGGTGCTTTATGAGCAAGGTCAGACAGAAAAGAACTTCCGTAAAAATGGCTGAGGCCTCGGAGACTGAAATGTGACCCGGTTACCATCTCCTGAGACTAGAGAAGGGTAGGAAGGAATGTGTCTAAACCATTAGTGAGGCTGAGCAGGAGTCCCTGTGTCTGTCCTCAGGAACGTCAGTCATCCCGTCTAGGGCTGGCTGGCTCCTATGTCAAGGGCGGACAGCGAGGAGGGAGACAGACAGGACACCACCACCTCCAAAAGCCTCCACGGGTGGCATCTGCAGCGACGAACAGCAGGTCCTCTGGCAGCAGACTGACAACTGACCGCTGCACTGCCGGGGTACGAGGGTGAGATGTGCAGCCAATGGCAGGCGGTGTGTTGCAGCCACGAGATAGATAATTAATATGATTAGGAACACACAGAGCAAGCATGCTCTTGCTGACTGAAAGGCCCAGTAGCGTAATTACTGTTTTCTTACCAGCTCACTGTCTGTACACATTTCAAAGCCTGGTTGGTGTTAGACTGCTGTGTAAACATCAATAAAATCCCAAGCGCCGGATCATCCGCATCCTTTGGCAACATGGCTTTTTGTTTTTAGTGTTTTCATGCTTTTAAAGATGCATTTCAGGGCTGCAAACACTAGGAAGAAGGATCTCCATGCCTTGGACTAATCTTCGGGTTTATAGTGAATTAACATCTCCCCCAAGTGAACATTTATTATGAAGGCTAATTAATCGCTTTCCAGTTATGGGAACTCTTTGCATTCAAAGAAAGTAGGATTCGCAAGCAAAGAATATACTGTTTATTAAAACAAAGCAAGGGAAACAAAAGGCTTCAAAACCCTTTCCGTGTAACATAGCTTTAGTCAAAAAAAAAAATATATGAATGCCAGGAATACGTACAGGTAGAAAAAGTACGCATTCACCAAGCGAAATGCAACATTAATTGAAATGAAAACTAAAGAAACGCTTTGTAGTCGCTTGGATTTCCCTAGGGGACAGCAAGTCAATGCTTATCAGCAGTCCTCAGAAGAGACAATTTTGATTAGTATCAGACCCATATGACTCAGTCTATTAAACCCTGAAGGAAGGATACTCTTCAGATAGAAAAGAGATGCCTTTGATTAATAATTCTGCCCTATTGCCATTCCAAGCATTAACAACTATGTAGCACCTCTAGAAAGAGGGAGCCTTTGAATTCTAGGAAGACACACTTACTAAAATACCCAGGTGCCCACAAATGCTTCTCAGCTCTCCCTGCTGAGAAGAGCCCCAGTTGTGAGGCAGGGGGGTCACTGCTGGAGAAGCAAAAACCTAGTTACATAATTTACTTCATGGTCTGCCGTTAGGGTCAGTGACTTATGACATAATTCCTGCTTGATGATAATGAAATTGACAAAACCCTGAAGGCAGAGGGAGTGACTGGTCTTATACTAACCGCTGGCTGACTCCCTAGGCCTGACACGGTCTACACCACAGCCACCCGAGCATATTTCCTTTGCCTAGCAATGGGTTCTGAGATGCACACACGAGAGGAAATTGCTTAGTCTACCATAAAGAGCCTCTGTGCGGAGTAGCTAACACGGGATCGTCACAGGGAGGTGGGAGGAAATCGATTCCATTCTGGCTCTTTATTTGCAAACTTCTACCCAGTCGGCACTGCTCTCCTCACATCGACGCGCTTCTCCTGATGCTCAGGACCAGCCTTCGGCCGTACTCTCTGTAGTCCACCGGCTTCACGTCCATCACAGTGGCCTTAATTCGAGACTCGTCCTTCAAAGAGAGAAGCGGTTTGTGAGCGGTGAAAGCGTGGCGTGGAGCAGTGAAGCCCCTTTTGCTTCAGTGGTTTCAGTGAGCCCAGCGGGAGGGAACAGACACACCGGCCTCCGAGTTCAGTCATTTCGGTGAGTGACAGCCTAGTCCTGATGTCTGTGGCTGGGCGAGCAAACAGGTCCTTTCTCTAGCACAGGCCCTTCTGATTCTTTACCCGAGCTCCCAAACACTCAGAAGCCTAGAATCCTAGTGAGACGGACTTTCGAGGGTTTTTCTTTTTTTTTTTTTTTTTTTTTTGAGACAGAGTCTTGCTCTGTCACCCAGGCTGGAGTGCAGTGGCGGGATCTCAGCTCACTGCAAGCTCCGCCTCCCGGGTTCACGCCATTCTCCTGCCTCAGCCTCCCGAGTAGCTGGGACTACAGGCGCCCGCCACCTCGCCCGGCTAATTTTTTTTTGTATTTTTTAGTAGAGATGGGGTTTCACCGTGTTAGCCAGGATGGTCTCGATCTCCTGACCTCGTGATCCGCCCGTCTCGGCCTCCCAAAGTGCTGGGATTACAGGCTTGAGCCACCGCGCCCGGCCTTCGAGGGTTTTTCTAGTTTAATTTATTCTCTCTGCTGCAGGGGATGCAGACCAGAGAGGACATGGGACTTGCCCAAAGCCACACAGCTAGTTCTGAAAGCTCAACTTTTAAACTTTCAAGAAAAGCAGAGTTGTGAAAGAAAGAACACCCGCAGCAGAGGGAGACGACCGAGCCCGTCCCGTCTCAGCTCTGGGAGGCAGCCTCTCTTCACCTCACCTGCCCCGTCCAGACGCGATGGGGCTGAAGGACCCCAAAAATCCCCTCCGGGCCCAGCCCACTCCCTGACGTTGTTTCAGTGACATCTGATCCTCTATCTCATTTAACGTTGATAGCAGCACGCCTAACAACAGGTATTAAGGTAAATACATGAGTACACCCTGCCATCAGCAGGGGCGTTTTTACCACTCCCCCATCCCACTCCTACGTTTACATTCCAGGACTGAATGGTGCCTTTCCGGGCAGAAGGGAGGAAGCCCAGGAAGGCTGCACTGGCGAGCTCGGGGCTGTCACGCTGCTGTGTGCTTGGCCACTACTAAATCCAGTGACACTCAAGCATGATCAAGAGCAAAGCTCTGAAGTCAGGCTGCCCGGGTTGGACTTTAGCTCGGCCACTTGCTAGCATACGACTTAGGCAGGTGACTTGTTCTGTGAACGCCCCCATTGTCTCTGTATGTATTCCTTCAGTGGCAAAATGGGGTAACAGTAGTTTCTACATAGAGGGTTACTAGGCTCAAGTGAGATATTCCACGTGAAGGATGTAGAACAGTATCTGGCAGACAGTGCTCAATAAATACTGTTTGATTATAACTATATTAACTCAGCCGGGTGCGGTGGCTCATGCCTGTAATCCCAGCACTTTGGGAGGCTGAGGCAGGTGGATCACCTGAGGTCAGGAGTTCGAGGCCAGCCTGGCCAACATGGTGAAACCCCGTCTCTACTAAAAATACAAAAATTAGCTGGGCATGGTGGCGGGTGCCGGTAATCCCAGCTACTCGAGGGGCTGAGGCAGGAGAATCACTTGAACCCGAGAGGCGGAGGTTGTAGTGAGCCGAGATTGTCCCACTGCACTCCAGCCTGGGCGACAGAGACTCTGTCTCAAATAAATAAATAAATAAATAAATAAATAAATAGTATTATGGTCACTTTAAGGAATTTTCAAGGTAGTTTTAACTACATGTGGTCTTTGTTTCATATACTGACTGACTTAGAAACGGGGTCTCACTATGTTACCCAGGCTGGCCTTGAACTCCTGCCTCAGTCTCCCGAGTAGCTGGGACCACAGGCACACACCACGACGCCCAGCTCATATACTTAATATACTTATCCACAATCTAAATTTGTCAAAGATGTGACTCTACTGCATGCATTATAATTTTTATCAGAACACAGACAAAAAAATCCTAGGATTTAACTGAAAACAAAAAACAAAAAAAAACCCCCAAAAAACAAAAATAAACAACAACAAAAAAACCCCATACAGTATTCGCTACCCGCCGCCGTTGTTTTGACAGGACACTTAAGCTCTCTCTCTTTCCTCATCTGAAATGGGGACAATAACAGTACCTGCGTTGGGCAAAGTCAGCACTGGGGTCTGGCACACGGTGCGTACAGTAACTCCCTGCCAGTGGGCGCCGTGGCTCTGCCGTGGGTGACAAACGGCACCTCCCCGCCACTAACCCTGCTGCCCTGGGCCCTTACTTACGTTGTAGGTCTCTACTTTGACCCTGACTCTGAATATGAAAGATCGGAAGTTGGCATTCTGGAAAACTTCTTCAAATGCCTGTTCATTCTGCAAAAACAAATAGAAAACTTGACACATGGAAACCACTGGACAACCTGCAAATACCAATAAGACTTTTCAAAAGACTTCTAGAAACCACTCTCCCGGGTTGTTTGAAATTACTTAGGAATGACTAATCTACAGGTAACATTACATAAAACTGTTTTGAGTAGAATTTTACTGAAAATTCAAACACTAATCAAATTGACAAAAGGTAGAATGGCAGTTGTCACGGCCGGGGGAAGAGGGTTTTGGAAAAGGAGCTACTGCTCAATGCACGGAGTTTCAAATCGCCACCCATGAACAGTGGGTCTCCATTCTCCCCTTCCCTTGACCCTTGGAAAACACAAGTCTGTCGTCTGTCTTTATGAATTTGCCTATTGGCCGGGCGCGGTGGCTCAAGCCTGTAATCCCAGCACTTTGGGAGGCCGAGACGGGCGGATCACGAGGTCAGGAGATCGAGACCATCCTG